TCTCAAGGATAACACCTCCCTTTATGAGCCTGACCAGGTGTTAAAATCATAAGGGTTGGTCTTTCTCTCAGTCCCATCACCCTCATAAATGTGGTTGGAGGGGGCACGGAAAAGGGCTTTCTCTGTCACTACTACCATAATTTTATACATTTCTATCATGTCTCCTAAATAAATAAATAAAATAGGCTGTGCACAATGATAATGATGACAGATTGTATCTAAGGCCTCCACCCCTGTTGAGTGAGGGGTTTTCTATATGCACATGTATGGCCTCCCTGCCCCCTCTCTAAAACCACCTATCTTCTCGCTCCAAAATGCGTACATCTTGGTCATAAAATGAGTGTCCTTTGTCCTTCAAATGAAGGAACACTACTGACTGTGATCCTGAACCGTTGCCTCTCCTGTGCTGGGCCATTCTCTTGTTTAGTGACTGGTTCGTTTCTCCAATGAAGAGCCCCCAAAACTCTTCTTTGTCTAAATATAAATGCATTCTCCAGTAGAAAGAATTGTGTTCTTTGTTTCAAATAAAAATGATCTGAGAATTGTGAGCTCTGCAGCGGTTCCTCACTCCAAGTTCCTCTATGCATGGTAATAACATTCATTTGTGGTACCACCTGGTGGTCAAAATACGCAGAGCAAAGAAGTTTAAGGGTGCGTAATACCTTTATCGGATTTTTAAAATTAGAAAACGAGCTTCAAGTTCTTTAGAAGTCTTTGTTATGCAAAGATGGTCTAAAACTTGTGACCAAGGCATACAGTTCCAAAATTGTGTCAGCCCTGGGTTCATAAAGGCAGACTGTCACCAAAAGTCCAGCTGGAGCTGAGATTCCACATGATCCAGAAATTACAAAGGTATCAATTGGCTTTTTTCCTCCCCTCTACAGACAAAATACACACAGTTGTTTCTATATTGAGATCAAATACTTTTGATGAAAATGCAATAACAATTTTGAGTTTAGAGGGGAAAATTCACCAACCATTTTTCTTTAAAGTTCTTCTGACTAGTATCTGACGGCCTGGCCCATTTTGGTTTAAATAATTTCCTTAGAAGGAAATTATTTAAACCAAAATAATTAAATACCTTTCACACACTATACTTTTAAGCTCCAGGATTCAAATGAAGCTGTTTTCACTCCCATATACAGCCTAGATTCCTGCTTGCTTATGAAATTATATGAGGGCACTTACGTGAGCATTTCACCTTCTCTGGCAGACTTTCCTCTGTACAAATGGGCAAACAGTTTGTGCAAAATTGCTCATGCTACCAATTGTGTTTTGTGAAGGAGACTGCATGGGGGGGGAGAGGGAATTGCACTATTGCCTTATGCATGTGTAAAACCTGAATAGGATTTATAAATCATAAATATATTTGGCCCTTCAAAGGTGGATGAGCATCTTAATGTGGTGAAGGGGTTTGACTTTGTCAGGGAAGCTGAAAGAAATGCTGTCAGTAAACTAGATTCTGTTGAGTCTGAACTTCTAATTGGATCACCCAAGGCAGAATCCTCAAAGCAGAGACCCCACACTACAATGCATTGGTCATCTTCAGAGTTAAGTCACATTAGGAAAAGGTAATTGATCGTTCCAGTGATGGTGGGGTCACAGAAACTCCTAAAGGACAACTACTGGGCATCAGAAGTAGTGGAAGATGGCCCTGCTGGAGGACCTGTCAGATACAGTGACAATAACATGCAAGCTAATTTTTAGTACTACTCTGGAATGGAAGGCACCAGTAAACCATTTTTACATGTATACCTTTTATATGATGATGAGACAATCCAAAATAAAACAGAGCTGGGAGATTAGACTCCCAGATCAGAAGGCACTCAAGTGGCAGAACACTGCACAGTCTATCAAATCATCATAACTATTTGCATAAAAATTGATTCACAACTAACGTTGAGACTTTATTGCACCAACACATTGTGGGGAAATTTGCGTAGTCTCTGAAACTGCTCAGCCTTTTTTCAAATTCATTCATTTTTCAAAAATCTTCTCTCATCACAAATATTAATTCTCCTGCAGATAAAAAGACCCCTTAAAATTAACACTCCGTGTAGTTATACCAGAACAATCAAGCTGCCTGATTTCTGTAACAATCAATCTTTAAGAGTGTGTCTTAAGAATTAGCAATGTAGTTTCCTCCAGGCAACATAATTAAGAGTGCTATCTTAGCATGTTTACTTGAGAGGTTTACTTCTTGGTTTAGACTGACAAACCGTATGACTTTTTTCTCTCAACTAATTTAATTGCATGCCATCAAATTAATTCTGATTTATGACAATCTTCTTCAGAGTTTTCTAGGTAGCAAGTACTCAGGAGCAGATTACCACTGCCTTCTTCCAGGAACATTCTGGGGCTGTACAGCTTGCCCAAGGTCACACAGGCTCACTCTTTTGGGATGAAGAGTGGGGAACTGAACTCCTAACCTCTCACTGAGCTATCCAGCTAGCTTTCTTAACTAAGGGAGTCATTAAGTTCAGAAGAGGTAGTCTGTGCTAGGATATAAGGCAAAAGAAAAAGAAAACAAAAAGGAGTTGCAACAAACACAAAATGTTCAGAAATAGCAGGCCAATAATTGGTTACCAGTTCATTTCTGCATTAACCTCAAGGTTCTGATGATAACATTCAAAGTCCTAAACGGTTTAGGACACTGCATTAACTTCAAGGTTCTGATGATAACATTCAAAGTTCTAAACGGTTTAGGACCTCAATATCTATCAGAACACCTGCTCCCAGCAAGATCTGTCCATAATAGCTGTTGTTGTTGTTGACCACATAAACAAACAACCATACTACAACAACAGGAAGGGGGGAAAAGGGGGTTAACAACAAACAAGATCTGTCCATAATAGCTGTTGTTGTTCTTGCTGACCACATAAACAAACAACCATAAACAAACAAGCCTGGCTCTTCCGCCAGGTTTCCCCTGAGCATTAAGTAAATGCTCTTGACTTCATGACTGTGATACAGTAATCTTGACCCCCGAAGGAGACCTGGAGGGAAAGAACAAGAAACCAGGCCTTCTCAGTGGTCGCCCCCCACCTGTGGAACAACTTTCCCATTGAGATCCGCCTAGCTCCCTCACTAGATGGGTTCAGTAAAATCGAATCCACGTGACGGAGTGAGCTCCCGTTGGTTCTCCCAGCTCCTGCCAACCTAGCAGTTTGAAAGCATGTAAAAAGGCGAGTAGATAAATAGGTACCACCTCAGTGTAATGGTAACGGCGTTCTATCTCTAGTTGTGCTGGCCACGTGACCATGGAAACTATCTTTGGACAAACGCTGGCTCTATGGCTTGGAAACGGGGATGAGCACCGCGCCCTAGAGTCGGACACAACTGGACTAAATGTCAAGGAGAACCTTTACCTTTCCCTCGCCATCCTTTCCATCATCCTTTTAACCACCTTCATTGCCATCTGCTTTAATTTATCTTGCTGTTATTATATTTGTTTGAATGTATGTATTATTTTACTTTTTTATTGTGTTTTGATATTGTGCTGTTTCTTGTTGCTAGCTGCCCAGAGTGGCCTGGTTGCCAGATAATGCAAGGTATAGTTTCAGTCAGTCAGTCAATCAATCAATTAATACTGTAAACTTTCACAAGCTGGACTAAATGTCAAGGAGAACCTTTACCTTTCCCTTGCCATCCTTTTCATCATCCTTTTAATCACCTTCATTGCCATCTGCTTTAATTTATCTTGCTGTTATTATATTTGTTTGAATGTATGTATTATTTTACTTTTCTTTGTGTTTTGATATTGTGCTGTTTCTTATGGTTAGCCACCCAGAGTGGCCTGGTTGCCAGATAGTGCAAGGTATAAAATCAATCAATCAACCAATCAATAAATACTGTAAACTTTCACAAATCAGGCTTCTGTATCCTGCTCCAACTGTATGATGCAGGAGTACTGTGGATACATAGGTCTCATACCAACTATTTTTAGATTAAATAAATTACTGTAGTTCCATATTCCTAGCTTCATGTAGCCAACAGCTTCACAACTTCAACTTTGTTTCCTTTTAAACCACAAATCTTACAACTGTTTTCAAACTCACACATGTTTACAAGCACACTCACCTACATGGAGAGAAAACCCATTGAATAGCATGGAACAAACTTTTGAACGGTTTTTCCTTGCCCAGCACCTCCCAGTTGGGTTGGACTTGTTTTTATGTGCTGGGCTTATGGTGACTCTTTGAATGCACAATCTCCAAAATGTCCTGTCCTCAATAGCCCTGCCTAGCTCCAGTAAACGCAAGATTTCCTTTAGGGAGTGATGGATTACAACTCTCATAAAACCCTGGAACACATGGGGAAGATTTCTTTTGAAAGAAGCTGCACGGAATTACAGTACATTGCCTGTTGTTGTTTAGTCCTTAAGTCGTATCTGACTCTTCGTGTCCCCCATGGACCAAAGCACACCAGGCCCTCCTATCTTCCACTACCTCCCGGAGTTTGGTCATTGACTGTAAGAACACATTACAGTAATAACATTCAAGCCGTAAAGGGCGTTTTTTTTTTAATTGCCAGAACCCGACAGTAAGGAAGATTGCGCCAGTTACAGATCTCATTCTTGCACAAAGATTTCCCTTTTCTAAGCGTATGCAATTAAAAGAAGTAGCTCATGCCATAGAGAAAAAAATTACACCCCCTTGTAATCTGCAAGGCACACTTTTGCCTAAAACGAAAAAGGTTTTTCTCCTAATTTCCGGTGAGCAGTAGGTAACGCTAGAGAGAACTGTAACTGTTTTCAACAGTAGTTCAGACTCGCTGTCATTCTACTAGTTTCTATCTCTATGCTTCCAAGAACGACAAGCCGTTCTAGCCATACCTTGAGTAAATCCCCAATCGGACCCGGCCTTTTCCATTGGCGCCTTTGTTCGGGACCATAGAGATAGAAAAATCGATGTGTAAGTCTATAGCTGAAACAACAAAAGTTTATTCTCCCGAGGTCAAAGGTCAACAGGAAGACCCAGAAGCCAGCTGGGAGGGAGAATTTAACGTCACTTCCTTGGGTTTTTCTTTTCCCGTTTGGAGCTCTGGCGGGAGCACGTGCAGCCCGCGAGTAATTTTTTTAATTGTTGCATCCGCCCTCTCTTGGTCGGGTTGCTATGGTGAGTCGGTGGGGCCTGGCGGGGCCGTGGCGGTCGCTGAGCGGGGCCGGAGCGGTTGGCTGCGGCTTCTCAGTCCCAGACAAACCGGCGGGAAGGCGGGCGAGGGGGAAGGAACGGAAGGGAACGAAACTGAGGCCGTTCCTTTTCGGTGGCAGAATCTTCCCGTGAATTTCCAGCGCCTCGAGATAAGGCTGGAGAAGGGGAAAAAACCCGCATTTGTAAATACCGGAAAAACCTCTGCCCGTCATCTCGGATAAGACCATTGGTGGCTACGAGTTGATGGTTGTAGTGTGCCCAGAACAATAGGAAGGGGCTGGTGCTTCCCAGAAGCTATTTGTTGGCCATTATAGGAAATTTGCTAACAATGATCAACTAATTTGAACTCTGAAAGCTGATTCTTTAAAAAATCAGACGGTAAGACTGTCAGTGGCTAGTTAATGATGAGTTTTAGGTTACTTTTGATGCAGTATGCTTCAGAATACCAGTTGCTGGGAGGACTCGCGTGAGAAAGTGATGCTGCACGTATGTCCTGCTTGTGGTCTTCCCAGCAGTGTCTGCTTGGTTACTGTTGGTAACCGGACTCTGCAAGCCTGACCCCACAAGATTCATATACTGTATGGTATTCTTCTGTCTCATGCAGAGTTTGCCTCTTAATCCAAAGCCCTTCCTGAATGGGCTGACTGGGAAACCAGTGATGGTGAAGCTGAAGTGGGGAATGGAATACAAGGGCTACCTTGTCTCTGTGGATGGATATATGAACATGCAGGTAAGCAAGGTGGTTGCAAATATGTGCTGCTGTTAGTATCCAAGCAGTTTGCCTGGTAGAAACAAGATGCTTATTTTTGTGCAATATAGCTCGATATAGATTGGATGTGGGAATACAAACAGGCCTATTTGATCCGGACAAGGCCAAGATGCTTTCCTTCAATAAGAGAGCTGGACTGAGGTTGCAGTTTGTTCCTATTCATAATGGGATATGTATCTCAGGACTGGCTTCGACTATGATTTGCTTCTGGGTGCTTATTCACGTGATGGTTATAGCCAGGAATACAGCCTTGGCTTATGTGCCAGCTTTGTTCCTTCTTAGGTAAAGCTGATCTGGCTATTGTGCATCTCACGGGCATATCTACTCTGCATTTCTGTAAGGTATTTTGCATGGTGTTCGTCTAAAAGGATTCAGGAACCGTTGGTATTGCAAAATATGATAGGTACAGTATATTGGTTTCTGAACACCATTCACTGGTCACAGTGTTCTACTTTTATTCTGTTTGCACTGGTTTCTCATTTATTTCTGCAGTCGATTCAAAGTGTTTATTCTTATTTACAAGGCCTTAAGCTGGAGCTCTGGTATCTGAAATGCTGTCTTCTCCTGTGTGATCCATTCCACGGACTATACTCAGTAGCTTAGGTTCTGCAGTGTGTTCCACTGCTTTCAAGGGATGGGGTTAGCCGTGATTTAAAACCGTGACTATGAAAATCTTTTATTTCTCTAACTTTTGTCCACTTAGATCATTGTTCTGTGTTGCTACCAGAAGGAAAAGAACAGCACATTTGGAAGTAGGATCTTTAAGGAACGAGTGGCTTTCACCCGATTCCTCCACCTCAACAGGGACTGTTGTTTTCCTGCTGGCTAATAGCAGCACCAGAACAGAACTACTCCTGGCAGCTGATGGGTTAGGGTTGGGAGAATTTTTCCGTCTCCATTCCTTCTAAAAAGCAGATGGGCAAGTGATTTAAAGTGCCCCTAGATCGCAGCAGGTAGAGAGGGGATATTTGAATCTTCCATCTTTTGGTGTTGAGGGGGTAGGTGGATGCATGCACCACCATGGTTCCTGCCTATCTTCAGCACCCTTACAATTGAATGATTAGGTACTCCTGGACAAGAAGTTAGAAGGCTTTGCACTGGTAATGACATTTGTAGTTAATAAGCTCTCATTGGTATTGCAAATATTTTAAACCCACAACGCGCACCACCTTGAACCATTGAGAGGGAAAGCCCCCTTTTTCGTAAACAATTCATCAGAAAAATTTTAGAACTGTAGTAGCTGTTACAGATTACAATTAAAACAATATACAATGTGTGAATTTATATCAGATGAATTGGAGGAAAGATTACATAAAAACTCTTGTAGTTGCCCATGTGTTCCTATAATTTTATTAAAGTAAATTGTGTTTATGTTTTAAAGCTTGCAAATACAGAAGAATATATTGATGGCGCACTGTCTGGACACCTTGGTGAAGTACTAATAAGGTAACTGATGTGTTCCTGTTACAGTATTTAGAGTAAAACAGACGTGTGTGGCAAACCCATTAACCACCCACCACTTATGTTTGGAATCTGGAATTACTGATTTTAAAATGTGACATTATTTAAAATGGAACTCTAAACCAATACTTTGCATTGTAATAACATCTTGATAGTAAATATTTTAAGTGTATGGGGAAAAATAATTTTCTATATATTGAATGAGTATTTTGGAATTTGTTTAATAGTCTATGATAGCCTTGGAAACTACTACAATAATATTTGCAATTAACATGCAAATTTATTACTAATTAAACATAGCAAATAACACTTCAAGACAACTTGGTATATAAACAGTAGGTATGCAAACTCATCTAAATGTTATCTTTAAAATTCATAGTAATCATAGCAGAAAAAGTAACTATTGGTTTCATTTGCAGGTGCAATAATGTCCTTTATATAAGAGGTGTGGAAGAAGAAGAAGAAGATGGAGAAATGAGGGAATAACTTTTGAAAAACTTTTTTTATTTTTAAAAATTGAAATCTTTTGTTGTTATTTGTAGGGCTTTTTGGTTCTAGTGTCCAAAAATAAATACTGTTGTTGAAGGAATTTATCTGTATGAAAAAAATAAAGATGCTTCTTCTAATAGTTCTTAATATGGATAATACGTTGATCTTTGTTCAGCAATTCTATTTTTAAAAGCAAACTGGATCAAATTATTTTGTCACAGTTTAGGTAAGAGATTTGCTGAACTAAGGTAGAACCAAGCCTGGACGAGCACCCTGATACATTCTAGATATTCTGAATTATAGTTTCTTCAATTTACATTTCCTGAAATTATAGAAATGGGGGTGCAAAATATGTGGACACTATCAGAACTGTTCAAAAAATAATTTAAACAAAATTCAAGTAAAATAGTAGTCATCTTCACTTTTTGTAGTTAAATCTATAATTTTTTCCTCTCCTTGGCCAGTCTTTGGAGGCTGTGACCGGTACACCAGTTTTCTTCCCACCTAAAGGAAAGACAAAAAAATATGAACATACCATATTGAATCCACATTGAAGTTTTCCTTTGTAAAGGTTTTCTTTTTAACTGTAATGATATAATATATGTATTCCACACACAAACCATGATGGGAATGTATAATCTCCAGGCTTTTAAGGAAGGTTCTTCAAAATCCCAGATGCAAGGGAGGGGTATCAGGAGACAGGTATCAAGTTGTCTTGTGTGATGCCTCAGGGGCATCTGGTGGGGCTACTGTGAGATACAGGAAGCTGGACTAGATGGGCCCTTGACCTGATCCAGCAGGGCTCTTCTTATTTTTTTTTAAATATGCATTATATTGCCACGTTTTTAAAATGTGCTTCCTCTGAAATAATTTCTCCTGAGTTCAGTGAGACTTGCTATCCAATAAATGTTGGGCTGAGACCAGTATGATGTGAATAGAATGTTAGAGTGGGACTCGGGAGACCAGAGTTTAGATCCCTACTCTGCCATAAAAATTCACTGGGGATGGCACTGGTAAAACCATTTGTTAAATTATCTCACATACCTTGAAAAAGACTGTTAGGGTCAATATTAGTCGGATATTACTTGGCAGCACATAACAATATTGCGGCCTCAGATTCCTGCTGCTAGTAGGCTGAGTCAAGGACCAACGTTCCACTGACAGACAATGTGAGCTTTAACTTAGCTATATGCAGATCCCAGTATTTTTACACTTCATTTTCAGGGATTTCACTCTGCACTAGAGCTCATCCTGTTCAGCAGCACGCTTAGGGGCTTGAGGAGAAAGGGAGGTTCCCCTCTCCCATCTAAATTTATGCCCCAAGCAAGCCAGAGGGACAATAGTCATATTGGAGGTAAGAGGGATGGCTTGTAGACAAAGGGTCTTTTTGGCAGCTGCCCCCAGACTATGGAATGCCCTCCTGACAGATTCGTCTGGCGCCGACGCTGATGACATTTCGGCACCAGGTCAAATCCTTCCTGTTCCAGAAGGCTTTTAATTGAAATAATATCAACTGTGGGTCTTGATGGCAATTTTTCGAGTATCTACAGTATTTACAGTATTGTATTTTAACTGTGTTATCTTTTTATTGTATTTTAATTGCTATAAGCCCAAGACCTTTGGGTAGAGTGGGCGGCATATAAGTTAAATAAATAAAATAAATCAATTCCCACAAATGCTCCCCAGAAACCAATGGACTGATGTAAACAGCTCTGTATTACATTCAGCTAGCATAAACAGGACTAATATATGCAAAACGTGTGATGATCACTATCCAAGCCCTCATCAGGCATTGTAAATTAGAGTGGAATGTCTAGTCTTGTCCCAACATCATGGTCATCCATGTTTTAACACTGTGTTTGAACAGGGAAGGGTTTTTGTTGACATGTAGGTTCTAGAACCTGCTTTTGAAGCACTGCAGCTCACCCTTGTCTTTGGTGCTGCAATTGCTCTTTCAAGAGCATTCTTCAGGCGTTCCTCCTGGGTTCTTTTCAGTTCTTTCAGTTTGTCTTCACGGACTCTTCAAAGATGAAAGAGTTAAGAATTTTAGACATTGGACTGCAGTATATTGCCAGAGAGAAACATTCTTCCACATTTACTACCCTTAACGGGTAGTACTTAATTGTACTAGTTTTGTGTAACTGCATTGTATCAGTGGTGATAAATGGTGCAGGAAACTCATCTGGAACATGAAGTAGATGTGACACTATTGGAACAATTAGCATTACCCAAGAAGCATGAGGGACACTTGGAATGGAAATTAAACTGTCCTCCCTGCTGTAGGCAGGGAATGAGGCCCACATTCTCTGATGTTTGCATTGAGTAGAAGAGCTACATTGGTACCAAAAGCAGAGTGGGGGGCGCTATCTGGCTATCCATAGGCTGTAAATTGAAAGCCTGACTATAGTCTGCAGATCCCAGTGTGTCCCAAAAAATAGTATTGTAATGAGATCTACATCTCATTAAGTGATGTGAGTACAAGCCTGATAGACTTTGTTGTACAATGGTGTTAGCATTACCTCTGCCGTCTTTCTTTTGCTCTGAGTTTTTCGTTGGCTTCAACAACTTCAAGGTATTCTTTTGGAAGCACATCCAACATCTCACATAGCTCAGAGACCCGAATTTCTATGATTTTCAGCATCTGAAATGCAGTGAGGCTGGACACCTCATTTGCTCCACTGCAAACTCTGTATACTTCTGCTACTTTTTTAAGTAAATCCAGCATTTTACCCTGAAGTTTTAAAGGAGATAGTTAAAGTCCAGCAACTGAAGGACAAGAAGCAGTAAATACAATAAAGATGCAAACATAAAGGTATGGGCAGTTTAATACTATAGTTCCTAGAGAAGCATCTCAGTGCCTATAGGAGAAACTAGATATGTCCCTTTTAGGTTTAAGGCAGAGCTTCACCTCCATAGAAAAACCCACAGCTCTTGATTCCTGACATCGGAGTTTATATACTGGGGCTGTTTGGATCAGGATCTAGATAAACTATATCCAGAGCCTAGCTCTATGTTTTGAACATGGGAACATTTAGAATAGTTCTGGTGCTGCTCTAAATAATTTTCCATTGCAAACAATGGGTGAGGAATAGGTTTTTTTTTTTTCTTTCTCTCTCTTTTCTTATTTCTTATAAGACAGGAAGATATAATGTTTTCTGCTCCTCACACCCCTTCTCCTATTTTCAAGAGATCAGCAGAACACTGGAAATTTTGAAGCTCTGCACTGTGTCACAATCTGTGCTCTGGTTTTTGGGAGTTCATCAAAATAATGTCACTCCGGTGTAACAAACAAGGGCTAAACGGTTAAACACCTGTTGTCACTATTAAAACACCTGTTGTCACTATTACTGTACTTTTGTTTCTGAGCTGGCGGGTTCATATCACTAAAACACAGCTAGTAATCTCCACAGCCTTTTATGAAGCTGTATAATACTGAGTTCTCTTAATGCAAACCTACTGCACCAGCATTTATTTGTTCCCTTTTTGGACATCAAGCATGATGTTAGGATTGGATTCCTTTTGCCATTCCCCACCCCCACCCCCCAAGTCGTTGCCACTGATGCTCCTGAGTCAAACTACATCATGATATAATACAAAGATAGAGAAAGAATTGATAGCTGGATGTGGCATGCCCTTTTAAAAAGAGACAACAGCAAGAATTGTTGAAAGATGGGTTGCACAAATCAATTTACCTTGGATGCTTGGTTATCCTCTCCTGATGAAAATAATTTTATTTTTAATGCCAATTCTTCACTTTTTGCTTCTTCTTTGATAGAAGCTGCTTTTAGGGCTTCCTTTTCATCAACCAGGCTCTTTATTCTTTGTTCCCTTTTTTTGTTTGAAGGAAAACAAAATTTAAAACAGGTGTTTGGAATTGTTTTCACTTTCTCTTCTGTAGCCTACAGTTGCCAATTTCCAAAGAGGTAGCTATCTTGCTCTGTTCCAGGATGCATGCCAAAAAATACCGTATTTTTCCATGTATAATCCCCCTTTTCTAACCCCAAATTAAGAAATCTAAGTGGGGTTTAGCAAGTGTAGGGAGAAAGGGATCAAAGTGCTGCAGGATCGCTTTGATCCCTGCTTTTTCCCTTCATGCTAAGCCCTGCGGGGCTTAGCAAAAGGAGGGGGGAAGGGAACAATGCAATCCCATGACTGCACAATCATTTTGATCCCTTTCCCCCTTATACAGCCATGGGATTGTTTGGATCCTTTCTCCCTTCCTTTTGCTAAGCCCCATGTGACAGCAAGCAGAGGGGAAAGCAGGGATCAAAGCTATCCTGCAGCACTTGATCCCTGCTTTCCTTTTGCTAAGGCTTAGCAAGTGGAAGGGAAAGCAGGGATCAAAGCCCTGCAGAATCACTTTGATCCCCGCTTTCCCCTCCACTTGTTTTTGTTCTCTCCTCAGGGTCCGTGTATAAGATGACCCTCAAGTTTTACTCTAAAGATTTTAGACAAAATATAGTCTTATACATGGAAAACTATGGTAAATAAGAACTGTACCATGTTAAAGACTAACAGGTTTATTTCAGAGTGAGCTTTCACAGACTAGGCTTTACTTCTTTAGATAGAGTTCAAAATTTAGCTACAGGTTTATATAAGCATACTACATGATATACGGTAGATACTAAATGAGATGGGGAAAAGTGTATAGTTACCTTGGTAAAAAAAACTTTAAAAGTCACAATGACATCAGCACTGGTAATGAATATTCAAAAGTATTGATTACATAGATACCCTGATAATAGAGTAACTAGCTTGTCAGTGACTGCATATCAATTGTAGTTATGCTGCTGTCTTTGAAATATAGATGGACATGTTTTCAGAAGCTTCTGCTGAGAATAGAGTTTTGTCAATGAGTAAAACTTTTTGCCTATAGCTACACTCAAGATAAAACCAATTTACTAATAGTGGAGGACATCTTGCACTGCCCACGGTGCAGCTGAAACCCTTAACAAGTGTCTGATAGCAGCACTGGGTTATACGAAGGTTAAGAAACAGATAGGCAACAAGTTGAAGACTAATGAGTTGGGGAACTCAGTGAACTGGAATATCAGGGTTTAGAAGTTTGAAACCCCACTGTCCCTTCTGGGAGATGGGCCAGCTCGATTCTGGAGCTTCTGCCAACTCTACCATGTGCCCTATTAAATGACTTTCAAGAGTGATCAGGGGCTGCACTTTCCTGGAAGTTAACCCATTTTAAGAGGTCTAGGTAGTTCTTTCCACACTATAATCCTTGCATTCTATGCTGTTCCTTCAGGATTCACAGAAGTTTTGAAAAGTTTTTTCTTTATTTTAATCTGGTAGCGATGGGATGGTAGCCAAAGAGTGGATGTGCATTTGATGTAGATGCTTTGAGTCTTTCACTGTCAGCTTCTACTGGGTGCAATGTCTACTTGGTAACTGATCAATAAGCTTTGGCCTCAGGTATCCAATAGTGATTGTACAGGTTTCATTGAGTGCCACATCTACCTGTTTTGCATTAGCTGAATGATACCATAGCATGCTGGTGTATTCACCTGAAGCACAGCATAGGGTCAAGACTATATAGTGTTTGTAGTTGTGTTCCACAACTAGTTACCAGCTGCTTTCAAAGGATATTGTTCTTTGTGGAGACCTTTTGCTTTGTATTTAGGCAGTGCTTTTTGTAGGTTAGTATACAATCAAAAGCAACACATATTTGGAGACAAAACAATGCTTATGAAAACTGTCCAATATTTTAAAAGAAAAGGTTGCATTAGGCAATTCATAAATGGAGGATAAAATGCACGTTATGTGGCTACACTGTTATTATTTCTATTTTATCTTGTTATGTCAATAAATTCAAAAATAATTATTTATGGGATGAGAGTGTTGCCCTAAAAATGATTTATAGTTATTTTGAAGGCGCATTAAAAGTGAAAGTACAATTGAAAAATTACAGCTGGGAAGATAGTTTACATTGCAGTACCATTTGTTTCACTACAAGGGTGAGAAGACAGAAGTAACTCACTGAGTTTTGTACTATTTTTCATAAGAAAGAGTAAACAGCAGAACAATGATGCGATGTGAAACAGGGAAAAGAGAAAAAACAAGTGCATTTAAAAATGCCGCTTCTTTGTGTTTTACCTATAGTGTTAATTGACAAATAGATGCTGCAAAATACATGTGGAAACCTGTGTTAGGCAAATGAGAATAGGAATATATTATACAATAGAATTTTAATAGAATATTATAAAAGGGGGAAAAGTATGAATGTTATTTAAAGCTGTTTGTTAACTGATAAGCAAATAGAGAAAAGGAAAAAGGTGTCATCTGTTTTATAAGACTTTAGCCTCGTAACTAATAATTAAGTGTTTTAATATGGGTAGGCATCCTTCAGTCTCGAGCGACTATGGTAACATGCTCTGAATAGAGGTCTTGGAGCAGCGTCTAACGTGGCTGAGAAGGCCAATACGAGAGTGACAATCTCTTCCACACACAAGTACAAAATTGTATGTTATCCTGTAACACCATCTATTGGCATTAATATGACCTAAACCCTTGGCACTACCTTAGGAATCAATCTTACAGCTGATTGCTAAAGTACCAATAAGTTCTACTTGCCTGTGATAGTTCTATGACAGCAGTAGATGATATTTGGAGGTCAGGTTTGACTAATATAATGTTTCCATACTTTCCATGAAGTCTTTCAGATGCAAGTCTCATGTTGTGCATTTTGGGACACCAGTGGTGGCTGTTTCTATGTGTTTCTTAAATGCATGCAAAGTATATCACCATCGTGTGCCTGGCAGAGCTGATTTAATAGCTCTTCTTTAGATTTTGACAGGCCCTCTATGTTATAGAGACTATGCTTAGCTTTGGCTTGGATAAGGGGCCTTGGTTGTCAGTGGCCGCTCACACGGCACTGTCAAAGTCATACTGTTGTTCATGCAGTGATGTGCCTATAACCTCATATTGGTGCTCTGGAATGGAAAGATCAGCCATATATTACAAAAATGCACTGTGTTTGGTATCATCTTTGATAGTTCAGAAACTAGAGCTGATACAGAATGCCACAGCTACACTGCTTATAAGAACTAAGGGCTCAGATCAGATTTTAAATATTCTATATTGGGTACATTGGTTGCCTGTTTGTTTTGAGCAGCTCCTCCTCAATTAACCTCGTTAGCATACTCAGTATTAAACCAGTAAGGTCTGGTTTAAATGCTGGTTTTGGCCTTTATATGGTTTAAGATCACTTTACTTGAAGGACTGCTTGCACCTGCTTAAGCCTGTAAATTTGGCCCTGAAGGCCCTACCTCCTGGCCCTCTAGCTTCAGCTTATTAGACTTAAGGTCTATTCACTTATGAGGAATTCATGTCTACTTACCATGTACTTTAGTCCTGACATCCTCCAGCTTCTCTGTCTGTGGAAAGCAACAAATTTGAAGGGGATATCCTGTGACATCCATGCATGCTCTGTACATGGATCAGGCAGATCCTCTTTAGACTTGCTGTCTTTCCAGGCCAGTGAAACCAGAAATGGAGAAAGGTGGACTTAAGAGTGCTCGCCTCTATCCATGGTGAGTATATATGGACTCCTAATTCCTCAACAGACCTTCATAAGTGGTACGTACAAGGATTCCTCATATTTGGGCTTACACATTTGAAGTCCCTCCAAAGGAGATAGATATGTACGGCTTCATCATACAGTATTTATTTCAGCCTGCACATGCTATCTGAAGGGGGGAAGGGACCTTAGATCATTTGCTGTTTTATTTTGGGTTTTTTAAAAACAATTCTGATTGCACTTTTGTGCGTTTTGGAATCTTATCAGCCACCTACCGATCGCAATGTAAAGTAGCTTTAGAATATTTTATATGGATAAACTTACATTTCCTGTTTAATTGCTTTTTCTTTCTGCTGTCTGCTTTCTAGTGTTCCACTGATTTCTTGAATGTTTTGAAATAGTGAAAGATTTTGTTCCTCAAGATGTCTGTACATCTGAAGTAGCTCTTCAGGATTTTTGAAATATATCTCTGGTTCCTAAGGCAGAAGAAAGGGTGTTACATAATTTCAGGAAAAATATTACAGTTTGCCCTTTCCTTACTTCAAATTAATTACCAGCAAAAATATAGATTTCTTTGGCAAAGAGCATCTATGCAGAAAACATGCATTTTCTGAGAATAGTTTAAAGTGTGCATGAGTGATTGGTGTCTGGCATGAGCTGGGGAACTGTGATTCACTCAGGCAAGAGAACTGTGAGGATAAATTTGTAACAAAAGGAAGAAGTTTCTTCTCACAAACATCATTTTAGGTTCTCAGGATCCCTCTGTTACATACAGCACTGATGTTACCTGTCTGTCATGGGTTTGGAGGGAAAGTTCCAGCCTATGGGGAGTGGAAGGCGGGACATCAGGAGGAGGGGCTGTACAGTATATATAGGTGAAGCCTGTGTGGAGAAGGAGTCGCTGGGATGTGACGAAGCAGCAGCTGGGAAGAAGAAGCTGGTGTGGGAGTCTGTGTGTCAGACAGGGTACTACTGTGTGTCAGAGTACCAACCTGATAGGTGCAGGTGTCTGTTGGTTAGCCAGAACTGATAGGTTCAGGGACTGTGCTTCAAGTTAAGGGTTCTGGGTGAACCAAACTGTATGCATGTATGAATGAGAATAAGCCACGTTACTTTATCTTATTCACCTGATTATTTTATTTTTCCTGTGTGTTGTATTTAAATAAACCTTGTTCTTTTATTTGTTTAAAAATCCATCCCTGGTCTGTGTGACTTCTTATAGGGAATGGTTGGTGGCAGCTTAGTTAACGTGTGGCAGATCCCAGTAGGTCTGGGTTTGTCACACCCTCTAGCTTGGAACTCAAGTGGAGTAGCACTGAATTAAGCTCATGTTTGATTTCTAGGTTAAAGTAAAAAAAAAGAGAGAATCCTCTTTCACGGTAAAATTAAAATGCATGAGATGTTGTGAGCCTGTTTTAAGTCATGTATTCTTTGTGAAATACTGTATACAGCTTACGATAATTCTCAAGAGTAGATGTTGTAGGTTTTGATGTTTGATTATTGAATAAAGCAAATATAACAATGTAATAATCTAGAGAGCCATGTGTATTTTGATCCACACTAACAGTTTCCGGGCACTGCTGGTGATCTTCCCTTCTTTCACCAACTGGCATAGGAAAATCCACAGATGCGACAAGCAGTGAATGAGCACCTATTTGAAAAAAATGTGAGGCTACACATCAGCGTAGCAATCAGTAGCCAACATCCTGGCAGACAATTTGGCTCAGAAATTTTGACAATAATATATAATTGGTTCAAAAGCAAGAAGAATCTTATTTTCATAGAACTGTGTTGTTGTTTTTTAACTATGACAAACTTGTTACCTCATCACTCTGTATATCATCCAAGGAAAAGTCTTCTTCTGAAGATAGAGACATGCTTCTTTCACTCTGATAGCTGTTATGAAACAAAATTCTAACTTAGATGCAGGTTTACATTCCCAAGCTTGCCAGCTCAATGTTTAATGCCAAGAAAAAAGACAGGTGACCTTATTCTCTGTGATAAGCATCACTCCCCCCACCACCAATCCTTCAACTGTATAAAAGCTGTCAACATTTTCTTGTCATCTGTAGATCAAGTTAGCATGGAACAATTTATAAAAATGTTTGAAATCAAATGCTACAGCTTGAAAGCAAGTCCAGCATCTGCAGACCTAAAGAGATTGTTGTAGGTGTTATGTTTCTTGAACAGGAGTTTTCCATGCCATGCTTGCAACTCAAAATGAAAAGAACTTTCAAAATACCATATGTTACCTTTCTAATGATTGTCTTTTCTCCTGCGAGGATGATCTGCGGCTGAGTGCTCCTGACATCTTTCTGAAAAACCGGTATTCGCCTCCTTGGAAAGTTGACAAATACATCACTGTCTTAGCTTTAACCCAGAATATTATGTTAATAAAATATTACAATTTAGCAATATTTTATAGTAATCAATATGTTAGTTTTAAGTGAAAATTTGCCGATACTCTGGTTCCCATCATTGGCATTGCTCATCACGAGATTGCAGCCTCTGAAAGCTTCCTTGAGATCGAATTCAGCCTTTAGGCCTGTAGTAGACCATGGGTGGTTTAGTATTACTACTATCCCAATGCCTAGTTCTACACCTAGTGGTATATCAATGTGACACAAGTGGCTTGCTGGGGTTGGAGGGCCATAAGATTAACTCAGTAAACTCCATATCCATGTCTGACCATGTGATTAAACAGATGGAACTATCTGACATGTAGCATATCCGGCATGCCATTTAAAGTCAGCAAGCTATAATCTTTTTTTAAAAAATCTTTATTATGCTTAGAACGTTCCCCCCAAACAGTGCGATGTGTGAAATATGTGATCAGTGTAGCTTAGGACTTATGTTTCTAAAACGTGCTTCTTGGGAACTGCTTTTGACAGAGAAGGGGTTCTGAAAAGCAGTTTGCTTTCTGAGGTTCTGCTGATCAAGGTGGGCCAACGTGCACTCCACACCCAACTGCCATCTTGCCATGTAGCTGTTTCCTCCTTACCTTGGCTATGGGGGCTTTTCTTCTTCTTCTCCTCATGCTGAGGGAGCATGACTGAGGCTGACCTCCCAGTAAACACCTTCTTTCCAGGTGGCTGCCCTTTACCAGGTGGTGGCCCTTTAGTGTGTGCCCATTTGTCTAAAGATACAATTCAGATAACATAGGATCAGATGGTGGTAAAAGAACTAACCAGATATCAACTACTAGTGGCTTTGCACAGATTTCCCTGTAGCATCCAGACCAACACAGAGCAGAAACAGCATGTAACACTGGTGCAAAGGAACATGGGGAGCAAATGATTCAAGACCATCTGAACTATGGCATAGAGAGGCTAAGTAAATGTTCCAAAAATCACTCACAGCAGCTGAGGAGATACAACAGCAACAAACATTTCTGTGTATTCTCCCTCTCACCTTATATCTCCTAGACACATTGTATGCTTCATTTTTGCTGTCTTGACAAGATTCTCAGTTTCTCACTATACAGAAACCAGCACAAGCTAAATTTATTTGCACAATAATTATTACTTCTGCTGGTATTTTAAAATTTATTATTCTATAGATGTTCTGCTTTCCAAGATAGAGTGAAAGTAGATACTGCCCAGGTTTCTCTTTTTATTTTAAACCTCATGCACTTACAATGGGACATTTTAGTCTCCCAAGTCCAACTTTGTCTAGCAGAATACGTATAGAAATAGATGTGCAATATAGACAAGACTGTCATCCTCACAGTACTAAACACACTTCTAATTTATGTATATTTCTCCTAAAGCAAACAGCTACAATTCTATTTATTTTTACACTAGGGTATATTTTTGACCTAGTGTGTTTAATGTATTAAATTCTTTCTTGACTGCTGGTCCAGGGAGTTCCACTTGGGAAGGAATTGTCGGCCCTCGGACCCTAAATACCACAGGATCATCTATCTCCCCAATGCATTTTAATGTCTATGTGAGGCCACTTGGAGAGGTCATCCGGAGATTTGGAGAGTGTTTTAATCAGTATGCTGATGATACACAACTCTCTCCTTTACATCTTCTGCAGCGGATGCTGTCCAGGTCCTGCAGCGCTATCTGATCTCAATTCTGGAAGGGATGAAGACTAATAGGCTGAATATAATCCAGATAAAACTGAGGTCATATTGTTGGGGGGGGGGCTCTGAAAAGGTTAGGGGGCTGTCTCCCTAGGTTGGATAGAGTTATCCTTCCACTTAGGATCTCTTTCATAACTCGTGTGTGCTCCTGGATTCAGCCTTATCTTTGGAACATCAAATTTCGGCTATGTCCAGGTCAGCTTTTAACCAACTCAAACTGATTGTCAAGTTATGCCCCTACTTGGATTCTCTCTCTCTCTCTGATAATACTGGTTCATGTGCTGGTGATCTTTAAGTTCAAATATTGTAACACTCCCTACATGGGAATACCCTTGAAGTTAGTGTGGAGATTACAGCAGGTGCAGAATGCAGTGGCCTGACTGGTATTGGGTGTGCATAAGTTTGATCACATCTCTCCAGTTCTGATTCACCTGAATTGGCTTCCCATTATTTTTCAAGCCAGGTTTAAACTTCTAGTTTTAGTATATAAATCCCTTCATGGTTTGAGGCCCTATTTGTCAGAGCATCTTTCCCTCAGAAGATCAGCCCATGCCACCTGTTCCTCATAGGTCTTGCTTCTCTGGGTTGCCACATCAAAAGAGGCAAAGGAGACTACCACCAGAAATCATGCCTTCTCTGTCATGGTCCCATCCTTATGGAATGGGCTCCTGGTAGAAGTCCATCAGGCCCCCTACATCACATCCTTTTAGAGGATCTAAAGACTGTCTTGTTATAAGAGGCATTCAAGGACATCCTCATGTAAGTTAACCCTTATATGTGTTCCCTGTTTTGCCATTATTTGCACTCTTTTAGCTATAGTTTTGTTTATTTAGAAATGTTCAATGTTGGTTTACTGGGTGGATGGGGTAATTGTTGTACTGTCTTGTAAATCACTTGTAAGTCAGTGAATTTGCACTCTTTTAGCTATAGTTTTGTTTGTTTAGAGATGTTCAATGTTGGTTTATTGGGTGGATGGGGTAATTGTTGTATTGTAAATCACTTGTAAGTCAGTGGTATATAAATGCATTAAATCAATATTCAGAAAAAAATACATCCCATGCATTTTCCCAACAGGAAAACAGAGAGGGGATGAAGAGTCTATGAAGGACTCCCATGTGACTGAAATTCCCATCATACTGCTTTGAAAATTAGATGCTTACGTATTCTGTGGTGTAATATGAAAGAGCTTGACATTAGCTTGGTTTTATCAGGAGCAGGAATAGTAATAAAAGATTTTGAAAGGCCTCTTTTCCTCTCCTTCTTTCCTTTCTTCTTTTTTGCTTTTTGCTGTTCTTGCCACTCTTTAGGAGAAATACTCAGCAAAAAAGATTCATACGATAAATACAGCCTCAAAAGATCTTCAGTGTTTGCAATTTCACTGCAGACATTAAAAGATGATAACTGATAAACAAGCAAATAATCTTGTTTTTAATATAAGTACAATTCTTAGATAATAAAGAGAAAATAATTGGCATCTGAGTTATGTTTGCAGACTGATAGTAATTTATTTCATATTAATATGTGATCTATAGTATTGTCTTTAGAAAGCAATGAACCATTTTAATGTGGGAACCAACTTTTCCGGTAGCACTTGCACAAATGTTACCAGAAAAATAGTCTGAGCTGTTTTTACTTCAACAATAATTGTTTGGAATCAGGTCAATTAGTCGATGATAATATGACCTAAGACAGCTTCTTCTTGCTATACAGATTTGGTGTTTCTTTTTTTTTGTTTTTTCAGAATAATATGAAGGAAAAATAGAGATTGTCATCAAAAACACACCTCAATTTACCCATTTTCATGTGAAAAAGATATATCCAAGACAGAGCTCACCTTTTAAGAGAAAACACTTCATTCATTGCTGACCTCACTTCTGCCATCACTTCCAGTTTAGATTTTGCTTCCTGAGTTGCCCTAAAAACAATGTGGATGTTTCAGACCCTGTGTATATGTATTAAGTGTGTCACATATAAATATACATTTATTCCATTAACTCTGGAAAACAGGTACGTGATTTTATTTTATTTTTATCATTGAAGTAGTAGAAATGTAAAATGAACAATGTAAAAAGATTGGCACCCTTGCAATTCTGTCAGAAAATGCAACACTTCTCTCAGAAAATTGTCGCAGTTGTAAATGTTTTAGTACTCACATGTTCATTTTTGGGTTTCTGTGTGGGATTGTATCAGATTTAACTTTTTTTCTCTGTCTTTTATGTTGTTCCAATGCTAACCACAGAAATGAACCTGTGAGTACTAAAACATTTGCAACTGCAACAATTTTCTGAGAGAAGTGTTGCATTTTCTGACAGAATTGCAAGGGTGCCAATCTATATATATATAGGCAGCTTGAGAAGGCACTGGAAATCAGTTCTAATCTTGTTCTAATCAGATTTAACTTTTCTTCTCTGTCTTTTGTGTTGTTCCAATGCTAACCAAAGAAATGAACAGAATTGCAGAATTCTGACAGAATTGCAAGGGTGCCAGTCTATATACAGTATATATAGGCAGCTTGAGAAGGCATTGGAAATCAGTTCTAATCTTGTTCTGTGGCTCTAACTTTGTGCTATATGACTTACTCATGCTCTGAATCTAGAGCGTGAGTAACACGCATCACCCAGAGACAAAAACAGTCATGCTCTGAATCTAGAGCGTGAGTAACATGCATCACCCAGAGACAAAAACAACACGTGGTTCTCCCATTCCTTGCAATAAATAGTATGATGTGAAATTTCATGCAAAGTTAGGACAATAAATATACTATAGCCTAGTCTATGATTAATAACAGATAATGTAACAAGAACAAAAAAAACCTCACAGTTTAAAGGCATCTACAGAACTTTTATCATTTTCCTTGAGAAATTCCTCAAATGCAAGGGTATCGTCTTCCAGTTTTGTTTCAGCGAGTTTGACCCTCCTCTCTTCTTCTGCTGCCATCTTCTCCATCTGGGATATGGTATGTTGCTTTATTTTAACTGCATACTGAGTGGGGTGAAGAGAGACAATTAGAAATAAATGACAGAAAACACTCTTCACGTGGGACCATCTTGTGAAGCCAAATGTAATTCTAATAGGATGATACTAAGAAAGGCTATGAAAAGAATGCTAACTATGGAGACAGGAGAGGCCCAGCCTCACGAGAAGAACTGATAAACTCTCTCAGCTATGCAAGATCAATTTCTGGACATTTTTTCTGCACTGTCCATAAAGGAGGTGTGCTTAGAGCCTAAGGGAATGTGGATTACATCCATGAAACCTTGCTAATTGTTTTAATTTTTAGTGGTCCGAAAAAGGTATCACCTACTCTTGCATTTTTATAACTTTATTGAGCAACATAAACATATCCTTAAAATGAATAAATGAAATATTTTTGAAAGTTTGTTATAGCTAAAATTTGCACTCTACTGCATATATTTAATTCAGAGTTGCAAAAAATATTAGCTGCAAGAAATAAAGCCATTACCTCAAGTAAAAAGAGTTCCTTTTGTTCACTGATGTAATCCGTTATAGACTGTGTATCAGTTTGACAACCTTTAAGAAAGTGAGAATTCTTAGATTTTTTCACCTATAAACCTGAGCATTTTTTAAAAGATTACCATTTGTAGAATATATAGAAATCATATGTATTCAAGGAATTATATTCTTAACTTTACAATAAAAAACTATGACATATTAAGGTATTCACAGAGATGAATGAGCTGGACATTTTAATGCATTCTGTTTGAAAAGCTACACTTGCAGCATTCAGACACAGGCCTAGATCAAGTGATTTACATCTATCTCCAGCATCAGTCGAACTAAGACTTTTTTATTCTTTTCCCATTGCAGTCCTCTGTAGTGCCAAAAACCTGCTCTAGAGATTTCCAGAGATTTTTGTTGGTTCTTGTGCAAGGAAATGAGGGTCATCACTTCTAGCAGGAACAGTGCAGTCACGCAGACGTGCAATGTGGTACCCAGGCCATAATGTTAAGCCACAGTTAAGGAAACTATAATCTGGTATGATTCCTAGACTGACAAACCACAGTGTGTGGTTAGCTAGTAATTAGAATCATAAATCAAGATTTGAAGTGGGTTTGCAAATCATAATTCATCTTAACTGTAGTTTCCTGTGATGTACAAGCATCAGCTTAGAGCTATTGCTCTGCTTCAAAGGCCAAAGATCCACAAAACAAAGGTAGTTGAAGACAGTGTAAGTGAAAGAAAACACGCAGAACTAAATCATACTGTACTTTGTCTGATAGGTTTTGAATCTGGTTGGAACTGTAAACCAAAAATTATAATGGTTAAAAACACGCAGAACTAAATCATACTGTACTGTCTTTGAATCTGGTTGGAACGGTAAACCAAAAATTATAATGGTTGTTGTAGGTTTTTTAGGCTTTTTGGCCGTGTTCTGGAGGTTTCTCTTCCTAATGTTTCGCCATTCTCTGTGGCTGGCTTCTTCAGAGGACAGGAGTGAGACACTACACCAGAACAAAGATAGATCGGATCCTGGCCGTGAAAGTCTTCGAGAATACAAAAAAATATAATTTTCCTGAAATATGAGATTTAGCACAAGGTCTAGACTGAATAATTAAAATATGTAATTATGAAGTGCTCCTCATTATAAATGAAACAGAAAGAGATGACAACATAGTACCTCAAGTTGTGTGCCTTCTTTAAAATTAAAATATATACCTTAGGACGACTTGTAGCATATAACAACCTGCACATTTTATTGCCATATCCTGTGAAAAGCAGAGACATCACCTTGCCAACAAAAGTCCGAATAGTCAAAGCTATGGTTTTTCCTGTCGTGATGTATGGAAGTGAGAGCTGGACCATAAAGAAAGCAGACCGCCAAAGAATTGATGCCTTAGAATTGTGGTGCTGGAGGAGGCTCTTGAGAGTCCCCTGGACTGCAAGGAGAACAAACCTATCAGTTCTAAAGGAAATCAACCCTGAATGCTCACTTGAAGGACAGATCCTGAAGCTGAGGCTCCAGTACTTTGGCCATCTCATGAGAAGAAAAGAGTCCTTGGAAAAAACCTTGATGTTAGGAAGGTGTGATGGCAAGAGGAGAAGGGGACGACCGAGGATGAGATGGCTGGACAGTGTCTGTGAAGCAACCAACATGAACCTGACACAACTCCGGGAGGCAGTAGAAGACAGGACGGCCTGGCGTGCTCTGGTCCATGGGGTCACGAAGAGTCGGACACGACTAAACGACTAAACACACATCCTGTGAATAGATGCTTCAGAACTGCTGATGGCAAGTGAAATTCTTGATAGGGTAAAGATACCCAAAGGTATACTTTATTTTAATACAAACATATTTATGTAGTTTTATATTTATAATCCATTTTACTCACACTTAGCAAAAGTAAGAGCCCAATTCAGAGCAGCAACATCTTTTTCTATATCGCCTTCTGTCTCTCTTTCAACGGCTTCTTCCAGTTTTCTGAAGGTCTTTCGAGCTCTGGCTCTTGACGAAATTGTACTCTTTTCATATACCTTCAGATTCTGTTGAACTGCTCTAACCTGAAATCAAAGCCAACCTTTGTTACCTAGTTTTTGAGTTAATTTCTCAAAAATTGTCTGCAATAACCATTAAAGATCAATGCATTAAAGATCAAACAAGACAGAAATAGCAGATCTATTACTGGAACTACTGACATCTTTTTTTAAAAAAGTTGGATCCATGTGTAGGTGTATGAACACCACCTGGCTTCCCCCTCCTTTCTACAACAACCTTTAAACTCCACAAAAGGCTGGGGAATCCTTCTCAATGAAGGTGAGCTGTGACATGGTGGGGAAATGAGAACGCCTATAATTGGATGCCTGTGCTTTTCTGTGAAGCAATTTTTCTGACAGAAAATCCTGTCCCAATTTAACTGCTAACATAGGTAGTTTCCTTTATTTTTTTCTAAAGCAATTTGCAGGAGAAGAAAAGAGACCAGAAAAGAGAAAGAAGTAGAAGGAAGGTTAAAGTTCGCATTCTCCCCAATGCCACAGTCACATTCCAATTTCCCCATCCATCCCCATTTAGCAGCTGCTTTTAAGTTTCAAAAAAGACAACAGGAGATCATGCATGTTAAATGTCTCATAGATTTCAGGTCTTTGAATTCAGTCTAAACCCAATGGGAATATGTGTTCCCCGTGATTATTTTCCTCCTTACAGAGGGATTTTGTACCTCAGCAATCAAACTTGCTAAATATGCTTGTACTCACTTCCAGTGGCCAAACACAAAATAAATCACAATAATTCAAGACACTGGAACCTTCACATTGCCTCTAATTCATAGAGTCACTGTACACATCGTAAGAGACTGAATGGCACATGGCAACAAAACTGGCCACTAGAGGGAAGCATAGAGTATGTGCTAGTATTTTTCTGGCCATTGACAACAAACCATGTTAAATAATGCATGATTCGGTGACTTATGTCTTGTGATGGAATAACAACAGTAGCAGTAAACTAGTTACCTCAATATAACAAATAATACAACAAGTTCCTTTGAGAACAACAATTTTTCAAGCTCTCAGCATAATCAGTGTTATTTTTCCATTTGAAAATACATACCTTTTCTTTTTCGATGCACTCTATATCTCTATAAAGACAGATTTCAGAATCCAAACTTCTGAAAGGGCTGTTTGGTTTGTCATCTTTCCACACTACAAGCGAAAGAATTTTTTTTCAATATCGTGTAAAAATAGCAGTATCATCAAACCAAGAATATCTGTTCAATAAGACTATAATGGCTATGGCTCACATTAAATAAGCCAATCTGAGATTAAAACATGAGCCAAGAGAAGAATCATTCAGCTGGAAGGCAAATGGCTGGAATGGCATTTCTCACTTTGGTGTGTTTTCACCATCCTCCTCCTTTAAGCCTAAACACTACAACTATATGTTGCCCACATGCACAAGTTCATGTGCTGAAGGAACATGTGCATAAAGTATGTTCCAAGAACCCCCAAATCCTCGGAAAATGTCTGACACCCTTCCCTCCCCCTTCTGCTACTACCTGCTAAGAATGAGAGGCATGTTTCTGACTATGAAGACTGGAATTACCAACCATATTACATTTTTTTAAAAAAGTAAAGTAATTCAAATTGTTTAAATGTTTATTTGTTTAAAATATTCATATGCCACCTTTCTCCTAAAAAGGCAAGTTACAGTATTAAAAGAAACTATTAAAAATTAAAACAACAAATTATTACAATATTTTAAAAATATATTAACACTAGTCAACAAAAAGTAGTAGTAACTACTTTTTAAAAAGAAACAACAATAAAAACACAACAGTCCCTTAAAACAGCAATAACAAAACCCTTCTTAGACAGCAGTCACTAAGAAAAAGTCTGCCTGAAGAGAAAGGCCTTTGCCTGCCTCTCATAGGAGCTTCAGAGAGCCTGTCTACACTGGCATATAGTGCTGATACTGCATATGGTTCCCTGATAGCTATGTTTGGCAAGGGAAAAAAGACTTCACCTGCTTGTGTTTCTATTTAAAATGATCTATCTTTCCCCTTCAAGGGCTGGCCTGTATATTTCTGGCACAGAGCTCAGGCATGAAAACCAGGTTGCCAACAGGAGTCTAGATGCACTCTCTATAAGAAGGTGGGCATAGAAAACCTGTTCCTCTTGGGACCTTTTCATCCTCACCTGTGCCTCCCTCCATAGGGGGCTGGACCCAATCCATCCCAAATGCAGCCAAAACACATTGGAGCATTTACTGCCCCCGAGCCTGCTTTCATAATAAATTCCAATTGTGCATTTTCTAGGACTCGTTTACTAAGTCTGTAATATTTCATTCTATGATTACTAATGTTACATAAACATGTTTAGTTTTTGTTACCACTACTAGGATCTTTTCCGAAACATGGAGAATGTGTTACAAGCGTTGACGCCATCTCAATACACACTATAAATTTCTCAGATCTAGGGTGAAAAAGGAAGAGAAACAAGATAGCAAGAAAGATTTAAATTATGTTTCATTGTTACCCATCCAAAAAATTCAACAGGCAATCAAGTAACAACATGCTGCAATGCGCTTTGACTTACGTTTTTAAGATAAATACTGTAGTAAATGCTAATCAAATTGTGAGCAGCACAAGATTCTGCAGCACATAAGAGCTCAAAACTGCTTGTTTTGCAATAAGGCTGGACATTAGAGAAAGTGTTGCCAAGCAATCCCTGCCATTGATAAGCGCAGAAGGTGCAGCAGCTAGCAGTGGACAGGGCAAAAGGGGATATGCTTTCTGGGCATGTTCCAGAACGGCCCTTGTGGTGTGGGCCAGTGCAATCTAAATAGGGTTGGTTGAGGTTGAGGCGGAGGAGCAATATTTCATACAATATTTGCGTCCAAATGGCATATCGACATCAAGTGCCTTCATTTCTGGTACCCTGAAGTGGCAAGTCTGTGCAAAGCCAGAGTCTGGGAAAAAGGGAAGGGGGGTGGATTCAAGTATGACTGAGAAGGGCCGGCAACAGAGGCTGAGAAAGAGAGAAAACCTATTCTTGGCGGTCCAAGGGGAGAAAAAGCAGCCAATCGCTAGCCGAAAGCAGATAGCGACTCATCTGCGCTCTGTACTCTTCTTTGGCCACACTGAGGGGGAGAGAGGAAGGAGTGGGACACATAGAGGAGGGATGGGTGTAATCTCCCTCCCCACCCCTTCTTCATCAGAAGAGACAAAAGAAAGGGGTGTGCCCCCCCTTTGCACATTCCAGCAGAATGTATCCTACAACACAGTGGTTTATCTATACCAGAGAGCTAATAAAGTTACAGTACTTTTAAGAATGGCTAACTACGGGAGCACATCATCTGACCACTACACAGTTATAGATAGCTTCAGCATGATGTTATATTCATTTTCATTCAAAGCAACTGCACCTGCCACCTCTCTCACCTTATTTGAATTATGGCTCAAAAGTGGCTAAGGACAGCACGTTCAGAGAGATCCTGCGTTCAAGGAAGCCAGTATTATTCTAGATTATAGGGTACTTTGACCTGGAGTGGGGGAACAGAAGAAAGTAGCACAGAAATATTTCATTCGAAATAAAAATAATTTGAGTGTGGTCTTAGTGTCAAGCTGTTTTCAGTGCCAATTCTAACCTTGTTTGCTTTCTGTTAAGACATATTTATCTGAGGATTTTAAAAATATATATTTAATTTATATTTAATTAACAATAACAACCCTCAGACAATAATCACTGTGAAGAACATCCAAAAAGTACAATTTGGTAATTGCCATTATCGAATGTTGGCCCTTGAAGCCATCTTGAAGGAAATTATATCGGCAAAATCCAAGTACCAACACACACACGTCTCCTGCAAATACAAGGAATCCCAAAACGTGGTGCCGCCGGGGGGGGGGGCTTTGAATCCACCCGGGCAAGGCAAGAGTGCACCGCGGCTGCTGCGGTAAGGAGGGCTTCTCCTCCCAGGCCCTAAGAGTCCGTTTCCTTTCGGGAAAGAGGAACAGCGAGGGTGGGCTTTGAGGAGCGGCGGGGAGGGGAACGTCCCTGCCGGTGTGTCGCTTTCCTGTCAAGGTAGAGGCGCCCCGTTCTCCTTGTTCATGTGGCCCCTCAGTGGCCAGACATCCGGAATCATCCGCTTCTCAAGTTTCCTTAAGTTTGAGGAAAGTGGGCGCCTCTCTCCTTCCTTTTCGTGCCCAGCAGCAGCAAAGGGGGGGGGGGGGGGGGGAGAAGGAGAAGAGCTGCCTCCTCTTCCCACCTTCCCAACGGCACCCCTCGCTCTCCTGCAAGCCCCGGGCTGCCCTTCCCAGAGAGC